GAAAAGGGGTTTGGGGTGGGGGGAGGGGGAAGCATGTTGTACTAGCAAAAAAGTTTTGTGGCGTCTGTTTTCATAAAGTTTTCTAAACACTTGTGGAGTAGTTTTTCCTGTTTTTTCTAAAAATTTAAAATAATTTCTGTAATTACATTTGGTTGAAAAATAGTTTTTGTAAATATCTATTCAATTTTCTTCTGCTTAACCAAGATTCGTATGTTGTCTTCTACATAACTTATTAATAACAATTTTTCTTTAATTGCTCTACCCAAAATTTATTATCATATTCATGCAATTCATGTGATTACCTTATAAACCAAGTAAATATACATCCTCCCTATCTTCACTGACCAGTATTACCAAAATAGCCACTTTTTTTTTCACACCTAACGGACTCAAATATTTTAAATAGTTTCCTCTCAGATTTGTTACACCCCAAAATCATCTAAAGAAGAGGAAAAGGGCAAAAATCTTTATTCTTTTTATTTCATTTACCACTCTTGCAACCTTAACCCACTCAAACCCTCAAAATATTTTTGTGTTTTTTAATCTCATTTTGGGCAGGCAAAATTAACCTAAGGTATGTCTTCTTCCTTTTGTAATTGTCCTTTTCATGTTTATTTGTTTTTCTTTCCAACAAACAAATTCTAATAGATCTAAAACTTAATCTTTTAAATGTTTATTGCTTTCACATGTTTTTTTTTTTTTGGAAAAATTTCCAGAGAAATTCGCAGCGACTATCCTTTCGAGTACCCTTCAGTGAGTACCAAAGAATAGCCGCTGCGGGTTTAGAGTCCAATTGTCATCATAAAAAGGAAAATTAGATTTTTTTTTATATGTCCAATGCAACTAATTATGAGCAAATTGACTGACTAGCACATGTGTTACTATCAAATATTTATTTCGATTGTGTTATGCCTTAAGATTTACCTTTTTATATATCAGAATTTCCTTTTAAAGGAAATATCAAACTTCTTCTGTTTATTTGTGATGTACAAAGATGACGTGATTAGCGGAGTGCCTTCTTTTTTCCTATCACCTATACAATTTGTATTTTAACTTTTATTAGACCAATAATTTGCAAAACTAATTAATATGGCACCCCTCATTATCTTTCTTAATTTTGAAAAAAAAAAATCTTTCACGTCCTTTAATTTTATGGAAACTTACATTGAATTATCGAAAACAAAATTTTCAAGAATCAGATAAATATCAATATAGTGGTTTAATACTTCTCAGACATAATATTCTTACTATCAGTTAACAAATAAACTTTAAAATCATGTGAGAGAATTACTTTCATTTCCATTTATTTTTGCTAAATCAGATTTCTTCTGAACAATAGTTTAACACAAGTAGAGATCATTAAACTAAGCTGTCGTGTGAAATTTGCAACTATAAACAATGTGATGGAAAGGTTACAAGAAATATAGATAGTATATTGAGAAAAAAAAGGAGAGAAATATGCAACTTTTTGGAGGTAAAATTTATTAAACATGACTTGAGAAATAATAATAAGCAAAATATCTAAAGAAAATCATGTTGCATAACAAAAGAATTTGTCACTTTGCAAAAAAATACTGAATTTGTAAACTTGATCTAATCAGTATAATTTTAGACACATCATATGTACTACGGCAAAGTCAAATAAATTATAACACAAAAAAAAAAAACGATATTGTAGTAAATGGTTAAAATCTATGTTATTGCAATGCTAACGGCTGAGTATTCAAAAGGGGTGATATAGAATATTTCATCCTTAATTAGAGTTCTTAGATTTGAGTCGTAAGATATGAAATCTTTAGCAAGGTACACTTTACCCTTTAGCAAATTTAATCAATGCGAATCTAAATTAGCTAGGCTAACAAACTTAGAAACCTGATGGTTAAACCGAAAAGTAAAGAATATTTTGAAGTGAAAAGGTGGCAAAAGGGTAGAAGAAAAGTTGAGGGACTAACGTCCAAACAAATAAAGCCAAATTTTAGTAGCTCAGCTGGTTGACTACCTGAACTTTTACCTTGTTGACGATTGTTCGAATCCCTACTTTATGGTCCCCTCCCTCATATCCTTTTTTCCTGCCCCTAAATGGCAGAACGCTGCACAAAGCATCTCGTATTCACGTACAGTCCAGGGAAGGGTTGCACCCCAAGGGGTGTAACGTAGACAGAACCCTAATGCAAGCATTAAAGGATGCTTCTACGGCTTGAACCTGTGACTTATATGTCACACAAAAACAACTTTATCATTGCTCCAAAACTCTCCTTTTTCCTTTTACCTATGTAATAAAAAAAGTTTTAATTAAAAAAAAAAGTGGTAAAAGGGTAGAAGAAAAGTTGGGGGACCAAAGTACAAACTAAAAAAGCCAATACAAGATTAACAACGTGGGATTCTGAAAACAAACCATAAAAAAGTGGCTTTACATTTGTGTGTACAAATTTATTTCTGAATCTCAAGTGTAACGTATTTCTCGTAGTATGACGTTTCTTCTATCTCAGAAGAGAGAGAAAAAGAAATACAGAAAGAAAGAAAAAAAAAAGTATATTCTGCCAGATAAAAATGAGAGACATAGAAGCTGGCTAAAGAAAAAGTTGAAATATATCGAAAATTTAAACAATATTTTGTAGTAACATAAACTTTTTTCATCGACCCTTTATCTTAAATTCATCTATATTGGGATAAAGGGCGATGTTTTATATCTTTAGCCACTTTATTACATGCAAAACAAACCCAAAAGGTTCGAGTTATATATTGTTTTCTGGAAAAATATTATATTTAATTGAATTTGTATATTGTGCATGTAATTTGTTGTGATAATGTGATTTTTTTTTCATTTTTGATTGCAGGGTTTTCATTAATGCAGATAGAAGTTGGTTTTTGAATTTCTGAAACTTAAATTGTTAATCCTCTCCATTTTTTTTTTATAAAAATGAGAGGAATATCTGATAATGTTCATGGAGTTATATTAGCTATATCATCAAGTATTTTTATTGGATCAAGTTTTATTATTAAGAAGAAAGGCCTTAAAAAGGCTAGTGCAACAGGAACAAGGGCAGGTACACTTTCTTGATCTCCTCATTTGCATAATTCTTTTTAAATCTTTTGCATTCCTTGTATGGTATTGTTGGACGATATATAAATATTAACTTCATTTTGTCTTATATTGGTATCAAATTGGGTAGTTTTATGTATACCTATGGTTTAGACAATGTTGTACACCGGATTTTGTGCAAGCACTGTCGAGGTTATGTTGTTGTTATTAGTCGAGCGTCTATCATAAACAACTCCTCTACCTTACACAAAGTAGGAGTAAGGTCTGCGTACATCTTATCCTCCCCAAACCCCACATGTGAGATCATACTAGGTATGTTGTTGTTGTTGTTGTAGTAGTATTGTCGACCTATTATCACAACTCATCTTGTACATATGTTTTGGTTTGGGGCTATAGAGGTTCTAATGCTTTACTTCTAGTCCCAAGTTGACGCTTACTTTGCATTTATTTTTCAATCAGTGTCGGTCTATTATGCGTGTGTTTGTGTGCGTGAAATTTTTTGGCGAAACAGTGTCAGATGACACCCCTTATAGAAGGGTGTCTCCGCCACGACCTCCATTATGTTAAGGGGACATGTAATTTGTACTTGTAGGAATTGGTTTTCATAGGAAGCTTTTGAACGATGAAAATTACTATATGATTGTAATCTCCTACTAACAATAACAATAACGTTAGCAACAACAACAACAACAAACCCACAAGTGGGGTCTAAGGAGTGTGGTGTGTATGCGACCTTACCCTTACCTTGAGAAGGTAGAGATGCTGTAATCTCCTAATAAAATTTGGTGAATTAGGAAATTCAGCGTGATTGCTATTAATGGAGATTTTGCCCCTGCATTGAGTGTATGGTTCATAATGTTCTCTATTGTTTCTACTGAGGCTAGGATAGACTAGTTGTGTTATATTGATTTCTAAATATAGTTAACTTTTGAACAGGTTCAGGAGGCCACTCTTATCTGTTGGAACCAATGTGGTGGGCTGGGATGTTAACTAGTAAGAGACATAACTCAAACTTAATTAAATGTATGTTATTGTTATGCAGTTGTTTTCCCCTTAAGCAGAAGGGATCTTTATCGATATTGAACTGCATATGTTGGCATGGCGGGTGATACACACATGTTGGCGTGGTGGCACGCCAACGTGTACGGTTCAAATTCTGAAGTACATGCATAATCTTTGATATATATATGTAGTATTGGAAGTATTATCATAATCCTAAACTTGCATATGCTTGCAGTGATAATTGGAGAGGGAGCTAACTTTGCTGCTTATGCATATGCCCCGGCAATTCTTGTGACTCCTCTAGGGGCTTTAAGTATAATTGTGAGGTATGTAACCAATGTAGCATTCATTATTGCAGAAGAATTTTACTTGGAAAAAGCTCTTTTTAGTTTCAAAAACTCATGTATAACTTTCCTTTGCAGTGCAGTGTTAGCCCATTTTATTTTAAAGGAGAGATTGCACATATTTGGTATTGTTGGTTGTGTCCTCTGTTTGGTTGGCTCTGTTAGTATCGTCTTACATGCTCCACTCGAAAGGAAAATTGAATCTGTTATGGATGTTTGGTACCTAGCAACCGAGCCAGGTAATTTCTCAAATGCAATCTCCGCTACATTCTTTCATTTTCTTAACCTTGCATTTCGCCTGCTGAAAAATTTCCGGTCAAAGATTTATATGCTAGTGAACATCTAGTACTTTTCATGGTATTGGTCTGAAATGAGCTTAGATGGAGCGATAGGATTAGTGAGGATTCATATAGCCGATTCTAACTTTCTTGGTATAGTAGCACATTTGTTGTTGTTGCGGAGAAATAGGGAGGCAACTGTTGCCTTACAGGCATCGGCGTTTCTCTATATGGTGAAATCCTTATAGCTGAAACATTGGTCAAGTACTATGTATAACAATTCACTCTCTTTTTGACTGAAATAGTTTACAATAACAGCATAGCAACACTTGCTTTGTTTAGTTAATATCTACATGTGTTTATTTGTTTGAACTAACCAAAAGGTTTTTGAGAAGAACAGGATTCATTATATACACATGCGTAGTCGTGGTGCTGGTAATTGTCCTTATTTTCCGGTTTGTGCCTCGTTATGGGCAGAGGTATATGGTCATTTACATCGGAATCTGTTCTCTCACGGGGTCTCTCACGGTCAGTATGTTCTATTTTTACGCGTTTTCACCTGCAGCTCAAGGTTCCTTGTATACATTTCATATGCTTATCACTTGACTTTTCTCTTGTGGTTATTCAGGTTATGGGTGTGAAAGCAGTTGGAATCGCGCTTAAGCTTTCATTTGAAGGAAAGAATCAGTTCAAGTATTTCCAAACATGGTTATTTACTGTGTTTGTTACAATCTTTTGCCTTTTACAGCTGAACTATTTGAACAAGGTATTTGTTGGATTCCCTTTAAGTGCAAATTAGAACTGATTTGTTTCTTCAGCTCGCTTTGGTTTTCTTAATAACTTATTGTTGTTATTACTTGTTGTCGCTGCTTCTTTGCATTGTTTCTTTAGCCGAAGGTCTATTGAAAGCAACCTCTCTACCCTCCCAGGGTAGGGGTAAGTTCTGCATACACACTACCCTCCCCAGACCCTACTTGTGGGAATTCACTGGGTTGTTGTTGTTGATTTGTATTTTCAGCCATATTATACTGAACTTCCCTCATTTTACGTTTGAACGAGCAGCAAATTTTCTGGTTTAATTCACTCCTAAAGAGTTCCATTTGAGACATATATATATATATATATATATATATATATATATTAGTTTTACCACTTAGATGATTGATTGGAACTAAAAATTGATAGGGAAAAGGAGTCACTAGTTTGTAGTTTCAAGTGTGTATTTTATGTTTTCATATATTATGCATGCATGTGACCGGGAGGTCACGAGTTCGAGCCTATGGAACAGCCTCTTGTAAAAATGCAGGGTAAGGCCGCGTACATTAAACCATTGCAGTTCGGCCCTTCCTCGAACCCCGCGCATAGAGGAAGCTTAGTGCACCGAGCTGCCCTTTTCTATCTTATGGCTACACCTGTTATCTTCATAATGTTAACTATGACTCTGCTACTGTGTTTTGTAGGCACTTGACACATTCAATACAGCAGTGGTTTCTCCTGTATATTATGTCATGTTTACGACACTAACCATTCTTGCCAGCATGATAATGTTTAAGGTAATTCAGTATTCAGTTTTGTGATTCTCTTTCCAGCATTCTTTAGTTTTATCAACTTCCACTTCTTAAAGACAGCGTATTTTCTGCAAGGATTTAACTTATACACTCTGAGCGTGTAAAGAATTGTTATACTATCAGTATTTTAACCTGTTTTAAAATTGCCAGATCTTTAGATAGCTTGATATTGTAAGAGTTCTTTTACACCATTTGCGTATAGAAGTTAAACTCTTTCCGTAATTTGGACGCCATCTCCTTCATTATAGTTGCAAAGATAATGAAATCGAGTAATTTTAAGGGCAGTAAATGATGTTTAGAAGAAAAAGAATTCTCTAATTGTGTATAATGGATATGTTTAGAAGATACACTTATGCAAAATAAGAAGTTTATTGTAATTTTTTTCCACTTGGTGGCCAAATTACCAGCCTATCAACTAGCCAAATTGTAAATATGTTCTGTTTTTTCTTGATTGTTTATTCATCTGAATGTTACAATAGTCAGGAGGTCACCGGTTCGAGCCGTGGAAACAGCCTCTTGCAGAAATGCAGAGTATAAAATTGCATATAATACACCCTTGTGGTTCGGCCCTTCCTTGGACCCCGCACATAGCAGGAGCTTAGGGCATCGGGCTGCCTTATTTTATTTTTTTTGTTACATCTAAAAAGGTTCAAACTTGACAATTGTTTTATGGGATGCAGGACTGGGATCATCAGAATGCAACACAGATAATAACAGAATTATGTGGCTTTGTAACTATCCTCTCTGGTACTTTTCTCCTTCACAAAACCAAAGACATGGGAAATAGTCCAACAACGAGCAATATTCTCCTTCCAAAAACAACCAAAGACACAGAAAGTAAGCCAACGGGCGAAACCCCGAAACTTATGGATGAGGTATGAAGCAATTTCACAAGGGCTGTGATCAGAGGCGGATGCAGGATTTAAACCACTGAATTCATTTTTTGCAATTATGGGTTCAAAACTTCGTATTTGTAGAAATTTTGGTGATACTACACATATATTATTTATGCCGTGTAAAACTATTGGGTTCAATTGAAACATTATGTCCGCCTCGGGTTGTGATCTCCTCTTGCATCATGGAAGATAGAAGCATTTCTTATTGGAGAAAACATTACTATGCAAACTTAGAATTCTGAGGATGAGAGGCATCTATTTGAAGCTGGCAAAGAGAGGCAATGCTTACTCATTTGTGTTATTTTGACTTCACTTATCATTCCAAGTTTGGATCACAATTGACATGCTTCTTTGAATGTACATTGATATTGTGAGAACAGAGTTGGATTTGAAACTTGCTGGTAACTATTTCATTGTGTATATAGTACCTGAGTACAATCTGTATACAGTTTTTATTGGTTAAATTGTCTAGGTAGTTGTTATTTTCTTTGATTTTTTATTTTTTTTTTGGTTTAAGCGCTTGGCACATATGGATTATAAACATAATGCACATTGTATTGTTAGAATATTGGCTATGAGTTCATTAGTTACTTGTGCATATGCCTCTACCTTTTGATTATATGTCTTAGGTTCGAGCCGAGAACAAAGAACTTCTATAAGAAGCACTTTACCTCTCCCTTGGAGTACCCGACACAAGTTCTAATTAGTCGGGCCAATAAGCCTAGAATACGGAATGGTTTTTTTTTAAAAAAAAACTTTTATGCAAATATAGTGTTTCTATCAGTTGACCCTATACAAAAATTAATGCAGCTCCATTTTAGTTGGAAAAAAAAAAGGGAAAAAAGAAAAAGAAAATCAACTCTCTTAGACAACAACAACAACCACCCAGTGTAATCCCACAAGTGGGGTCTGGGGGGGTAATATGTACGCAGACCTTACCTCTACCCCGAGGGGTAGAGAGGCTGTTTCCAGGAGACCCTCGGCTCAAAGAGGCAACAAGAGACACTATATTAGTACTATCAATAGACTCATAATAAAACAACATAAAATACCATAAAATCCATAACATAACATAAATACCATAAAAACAAAGTAACAACAATATAAGAGATATAGGAAATACGAGAAAGATGTAAGGTATTAATACACAGGAGATAAAGCCCATCATCAGTAGTTGATCAATAGCATCCTAAGACTACTTCCTAACTGGCTAGTCTCACTCTAGTGCGCTGTAACAAAGACATCACAATTTCCCTAACCTACCACCTTAATGCTCGATCTCCACAATTCCCTGTTTAGGG